AATAAATGCGACACAGATTTTGCCTGTTAGAAGGAGATGAAAGAAACCTTCTCTGGTTCTTCAGATGAAAGAACAACGGTCTTGGTTAAAACTGTTTTTGTAGTATCCGCTGGATAAAAAACACATCAGTTAATGTTAGAGTGACTCAGAGACTTCAACACACAGTCAGCATCAGTCAGACACAGACATCCGCTGTTGCATTCCTGCCAGAAAAGGTCCTGAGTGTGGGACGTGGGGCGGTCACACTCTCTCTGCCAATGCAGTCACTCTGCATATGGAGACTGGTAACAAAATTCTTATTTTAATATCAGCAAGATCGCAAACAAGTGTATTTCCCATATTGTCAAACTTTAAAAACCAATGAAGAATGTTGCACGAGAAGACATAAGAATGTACCATTATTTTTCCAAGGGACTTGTTTTTTAATGGTTTAATTTCCAGGAGAACGAATCAAGCAAACCTCAGTGGTCAAACATGTGGAGCACTTGCAGTTACCTTGTTTCATTATTTTCTTTGTTAACCAGCCGAGTTTAAAAAGAAAGTTTTCACCACAACAAACTGAACTAAAAGACTGAGCACAAATTGGTGAGATAGATATAGTAGAGCATGAATGCACTCCAAGACATGATGGATGAATAAAGCATTTTTGGCGGGGGTAGATTTCCTGTGGCTGAGTGCTGCCACAGCTGAACCAGTGCAGATGAAACGTTGCTCTGTGCTGCTTCGCTTCCTACGGAGACTCAGTGGAACTGTAGGCCAGCGTCAATGTTGTCTAAGGGCCTGAAAACTCATTGACTTGCTCAAGCAGGGCTTGGCACCGCAGCACGAGTAAGTGTGTGTATTCACAAATGTGTGTACACGGTATGGGTTGACCGTTACCATAGCAACGCAATGTGTGTGACTCGCACATGTGGTGTGGGTAAATGGGAGGGGTTGGGTGGGTTTTCACAATTTGACCGAAAAAAGATAATCAGAGGAATGGAAGTCCTGCGAGTGGCCACACTGTATACACACACACACACACACACACACACACACACACACACACACACACACACACACACACACACATACACACGCACAGAGATAACACAACATAAAAGAAGTTTACAAGGTCTTGAATCCCATTAAAGGATCAGTGATGGGCACACATGTCTATGAAGTGTATGGTCGTGTGTGTGGTTGTGAAGCAGGAATTATGAATGGTATATGTGGTATACTGTGAATACACGCACACACACACACACACACACACACACCACTCTCTCTCTCCCTCCCTTTCTTGCATGTGTTGCAGGCCAAGGAGCCAAGTGGTGCCATAGAGACTGTGGCACTTATCTTGAGTATGTGAGCCACTAGTTTTGGAGTGTGTGTGTGTGTGTGTGCGTGTGTGTGTGCGCGTGTGCATGTGTGTGTGAGAGATAGAGGGAGAGTTACACTATGGTGTTACCATAACAGCAACAGGGAGATTCAACATGCTCTAAATGTAATTAACATACATTTTATCTCTTCTAATTCCAATTAAAATCTGCCTTAAGATATTTAATAGTGTCATTTGGATGTTCACTCAGTCATCATAGTTTTGCCCGTAGGGATAAATAGCCAGCAAAGCAAAACACCAACAAATGCTTATCAGCCCTCTGATAATTAACATTCAGAAGAGAGCCCTCCCATTTTTAAACACTTTATATCCAGCTCCTCAGACACCCTCCAGTCCACAGACCCATAGAGCTGAGCCCAGAAAAGTCTCCTGTATCAGTCAGTGCTGGCAAGACACACACTGTGACCAGTTATGTGGCTTTCCACGCAGCTATGAGATTTATCTACTCAAAACACTGGAAAGAAAGTAAGAGTCAAAGTAGATTAGAATGATATATGTCACTAAACTCTGATTATGAATCAGCAGATTATCTGTAAACTGTCAGTGATCCTGACCAGGCTCAGTGAACACGAACATTGAAAAACATAACTGTGTTTTTCTTCTTTTTTTCATCTTTCTGCCAAAGCACTTCTGAATTTGTATTTGAGAGAGAGAGCGAGTAATAGCAGATGCTCTCTGGTCTTTTAGAATGCTTCAATGCGGCTGCCATCTGGTTGGCTGAGTAGAGCTGATGGCGGGATGGTGGCTGCTGCGAAATGATTGGCCAATGGGAAACTCTGGAGCTTCAAGTCCAGTTCAGACAGAAATCTGAAAGAGGGAGAGAGAGACAGAGAGAGAGAGAGTGAGAGAGAGGAGGGCAGTTAACAGGGAGGATGAGGGTCATGGGACGGGGGGGGGGGGGTATTGTGGCTTTGTCCAGTCCAAAGGGCAGATAGACAGTGAGAGAGTAGGGAGAGCTGCAGTGGTGCAGATGGGCGATCATGCACTGACTGGAGGAGGAGGATGAGAAAGTAAAGGAAGATTCAGGATGTTTTGGCAACAGAATCAGAGTATAGTTAAAAGTGTTAGAATAAGTTCAAGCAGGAGTCTCTGCGGTGTCCTTGAGTTCTTTTTAAAGCGTCCGTCTACTGTTGACTGATTGCAAAGTCTTTTTTTGAATCCTGTTGTTTTTTACTCGCACTGTTAAGAATTAAAATCATGACTTTACTTCAGTGGATGGTGTTTGTGCGTCCTAATCTAATGTCAGCTTTTGTTTCTTCTTTAATTCTCCATGTTTATTTATGATACATCCTAAGGTGTAAGGCCCTGTGAAATCAAATGTATTATTATTATAAAACCATTTTTATAATAATCAAACTTCTAGTTTAGTCAATTCAAGGGTCTTAAGGGGCCCCAGGCAAAAGGGCTCTACATAGACCCCCCCCCCCTCTCAACACATGATACCAAACAACAGCATTCCGACCCAGACCCAGACTCATCGTTCACACACATCTTCAACCGAAACATCTAAAATTTCAAACCTGGCAGAGAGCTGGTAGCATGAGGTCTTGTGGGGGGTTTCTGACCGTGGTATCACTGAATTTAAAACGTTATTTCAGAAAGTAGTCATTGCCGTAATCAGTCCTTCACAGGGGCGCCAGGCAATTACCTGCTTTGCCTCCTGTGCTGCATCGCATCCTTTAATAAGAAACATTGACGTCTCCCGATAATGTAGATTTAGCTTTGAAAGTGAAGCTGTGATATTCCATTACCAGCAGCACACCTGCGGTCGAACACGCTGTGTATTATAGTTTCGTTCTCGACAACAGAACACAGTGAAAGTGAGCGGGTGAGCTGAGCGTAGCCGTGGTGACTGGTGCTCTTTAGGAGAGGTTATCTTTGGTCACGTAGGCCGGCCTGTCTGCCTCCATCACATCAAACACACAGACCCTGCCTGTGGAGCCGGGGCCACAGAGGGCTGCGAGACACTGTTGTCCATTTTTACCTCCATCTCTCATCCCTCTGTTCTCTTTCTTTCATGTGTTTTGTGACTGTTTATAGACGTCTCTCTTGTGCTCTCTCTTCATTTTCTTTCCTGCTCTCTTTCCCTTCATGCCTGTCAGTGTTTATTAGTATGCTGCGCTCTCTCTTGCTCTCTCTACCTTCCCTCCTGTGAAGACTTTTATTTTATCTTGTGCTTTCAAACCACATCTCCACTTTTCTCTCACCTTTGATCAGTCTTCTTTCTCCTGTCTGTTCTCCCTGGTGTCATTTTCTCCTTCTTTACATGTTTCTTCCACTCTAAGCTCAGCTCTTGTGTTTGACTCTGTTCTTATGTTCCCTGTTTCATCCATTGACATTTATTTTCTGTGGCTTCTAACCTTGATCTTGTTGTTGCAGCAAAACCCAAAAGGTTTGTGTGGCCATGTTTTCTGGCGCCTTACACACAAGCTCTCTAAACATCAAGACTGTCAATGTTTATGAACTGGTTTTCATATTTGCAGCATCTTAGTTTAGTTGAGTTTGCAATCAGTGCAGAGTAAAAGGAAAAAAGCCGCAAAGATCATATCAGGCTGCTTGGCAGAAAATAACTGGCAACAATCGTTTTTTTCATGTAAAAAAATAATCACTTATTCAATTTGTTGGTTTTCTTCTGTCTATGATAATAAAATGAATGAATGAATGAATTTGACAATTTCATCCAGTAATTTTTATGTTTAGAAACACTTTTATGATTAATCAAGGGAAATTATATGATTCATCTAATTAAAACAAGTCTGTTAGCTTTAGATTTTCCTGTTTTGTGCAGTTGCTGACCAAAACAGTGTTTTCTTTAAGATGGCAATGTATCTTAAAGAATTTTAAAGGTCACCATCAAGTGTGTTGTGATATTTGTTGACAAGAGAAAATCCAGGGTCATGGCACCCAGCATCAGCTTTAATCATCACTTTGCATTAGATGTTAAATGAGGTCTAAGTATTTTCCTAGTGTTGACCTCCAGTAGATTATTTTACGGTCCATAAATGATAATTTACTTTGGTACACCTATATTTTCACCATAAAATTGGATTACCAAAGTGGTTGGACTATTCGCTACGCAGGACTGGAATCTTTCCTCGAATTTCTTCTCTATAAACCGGACCTTTTAAGGCGTTTTTTCTTGGTATGAATGTCAAGTTTATGTGTTACACTTTTTTCCTCCACTTATTCGTAGCTCAGCAACCGAGGCAAACTGGGTCCTCAGCGTGCTGTGCGCTTTAATGACTAGTGGCAGCTGGAGTCCAGTTTGCTCTGCAGGATGAGGCAACATAGAGAAAAACACTCTGACCTAATGATGGCCTCACTCAGACAGGGTGTTCTCCAATAAAAACAAAGACATCTTGTCTTGTTCACTTTGATGCCAGACACGTGTTTAAGTGGCTCTTGAGTTATTTTCTGTCTTTCAGTTTGTTTTCAAGTCAACGGGAATATTTCGCCTTATTGTGCTTCCCCAGAGTTGTTTCAGAGTCACAAGTCTTTTCATCTTGATGAGTCAGCAGGAGAGCTCCGTGCGTTCTTTGTCATTTCGTTGTTCCTGTCATTCCAAGTGTATATTTACAGCCACGTACCCATTATTCTCTCTGTTCTCTCTCTGTTTCAGGCTCTCGCTTCTCACCGAGCCTACCTCCTGACAGCACGCATCCCCGCCAAGGTAAGTGCGAAAAACTCTGGCAACTTTTAAGTTGTGTGCTGCAAAGTCAGCACTTTGTTTCCAGAGACCAGACATGAATAAAAGTGCCACAAATGTTGTGGAATGTTTATTTCTCGCCTGCTGGAACGTAAATTCATCACAAGACAATGTCGGAAATTACCTTTTTCTTTCAGTAATTGATTGACACCACAGTTGTGTTGAGCACATGTCATCTCCTTATTCTGTCAGTGTCAGATGGAAACTTTCATAAAAGCAGTTTTGTCATGTTTCATACTTTGTTTCATGGTTTAGATATTCACTGAACCAATTCTTTAAAGATTTACTCTGTATGAATTCATTATTTAACTGTTTAAACATCATATATTTTGTTGACTTGCTTAATTACAGTATACAAATGATTCCAACAATGTTTAAACCCAGAGAAAACCTCAATTATACTGAAGGAAACAGGACCTTTAATCTTGTCGCCTATTTATTTGGTGTCAAATCCACTGAGCACGTGGCTTAGCCTGTCTGTATAACTCCCGGGGCTAATGTCGTAATGAGAAAGGAAAAGCACACTGCTAGTCAGTTAGCCAGTTCGTCAGTTAGCTAAGCAGCTATTTGTTTGTATTTGTCCCTCGTAAGGGATCAAGATAAATCATTGCCATTTGCCGCGTAACATGAGTAACACTTAAATTACCTCATCTGTGAACAGCATTTACACTTTGCATTGCTTAACTTTTCATCTATAAAGTTGGTGAGAAAGATAACTCCCATGATCCCACACTGCTTCACCAAGTCATCAAACTAGACATTTGTTGTTATTATTTTGATTGAGAGACCCCTAGTGGCCAAAGCTACTTATAATACCTTTAACTTTAATTCTTGAAAGCTTTAGATGAACTCAAACATGCTTAGTCACAGAACCGTTACAGATTTGGGCCACTTTGCGTCCAACTCGCCCCATTTAACTGTGACTTTGTGTGCCTGTGTGTTGCATGGGTGATTTAAAATAGAAGATTATGGTTAAAGTAGCAGCTCTTTGTTTGCCTGATTACAGTGCCATTATATAGCAGGTTGACAAGCCTTTTTTTAAACATGGAACAGCTGTGTCATAATACAGCACAGACGGCATCTGTCTGCACCATCACTGAAACGTCTTTACCGGCATCATTGTCACCACTGCCTCATAACGACCAGCAGTGCAGTAACATGATGCAGATGTTCACTCAAACTTCCAGCAGCACCAGTCCAACAACAATACAATGACAACAGCAAATGTAAATAGCATCCCTTGCTGGGATTTGACCCTAAACCTGGACAAGTGAGTGTACCAATGAGGGGAAGATTCAATCATTCATTCAACCTTTATTTTAACTCAGAAATACATAGAGACCGAATTTACAATACAGACGAGTACAGAAAATAATGAAATACATGAAAAAAATGTATTTAAAGCAAATTAATCTATTGAAACATTTGAATCAATTAAAAAAGGCACATTAACTTAATATTAAAACCTTTAGTTTGTCTGAGGATAAAAATGAGTTATTTCAGTTATTTCATGTTCCAACTGCATGATCAGAAAAACTGGAGCATTGGATATATGGATATATTATCACATGTTGAAGAAATTTACCAGTTTTGTAGTGTAAAGTCTTTAAAATCCAAATATTGCATATCTGCAATGCCACAATGAGCAAACTCCATCTGCTGATGATCATCTGATATGATCAAGAGCTCCAGCACAGCTGCTAAATGGGCTGTGAGATGAGATAGTTGTGTTAACTTTGCTGTATCAGTTTTCCAGCCAGTGTGCAAACAACATATGCTGTTTAGCACTAAGTAGAGCGCATATAACTGGAAGGCCCAACAGCCCCTTAAAATCAACCAAGCCGCACTGGATTGCAAACACTCATAGATAACCAGTCCTCAGTTTATCAGTCTGCCAGATTTAGGTTGTGAAAAATTCACAAAGAAAGGGAAAACAGTACCAATGCAGATTGATCATATGATATAACCTGACTTTGGTTTTAATTCTACATAACCATTGTAGCCCACATTATTCACCTTGCTATATAGACTTGTTAAGGACCCTTAGGAGTTGTGGGCTATTTTGGCTGTTTTGAAGGCTTTTGATTACCACAATAAAAAATGTTCTAATTTTAGAGAGTTAAAATTAGAGTTAGAGTTCAGAGAGAGCATCCCTTCGGCCTATAGGCTCATGTCCTATCTTGCCATGTTCAAGAGAAGAGTTAAAGGGTTCCCCCAATAAAATCAGCTCTGTAGCTCTTGCTTTATCTTGCTGACAGATAAATAAAACATAACCTCTTTAGTGGAGGCAATTAACCATTACATTAATCAAAACATTTTAAATAATCATTAAAATGTTTAACTACCTGTAGTCAGACCACACACACACTAACCAAAACATAAAATCATAAAACCAAACAGTGCTTTGATAGTGTATAGTAACAGACTAAATAAAACCAGTTCTGCTTATATTATCTGGACTGACGATCCTGCTGCAGGCAGAGAGACTCATCATGAGCTCACATAACATCACATCTTGCACCAAGTCCAGGAAACGCTTCGAGGCTGCTCTTCAAAAAGATGCTTTCCGGTCAACATGATGCCTCCAGGGACAGTTTAGGTGATTGATCAGTGGCTTGAATACTGATTTATAGGTGTACTGGGGGCAGGAGAGGCCATGAAGAAGAGTCGAGCTTACCCTGTTTAGCATGACGTCATGTTTCCAGTGTTAGGAGACGTTTATTTAACTGGAGCTGCTGTTTTCTATCTGACCTGGAAGAATCGGACACCTGCATGAAGAACTAATCCCTCTGTTCTCCTGTCTGCTTAACGTCTCACATAGTTTTGATTTGTTTGCTTTATTCTCTTCCCTACTTTTGACTTTTCTTATTGTACCATACAATAGTATGATTTAATTAGGAGAAGGTACTGTAGGACGTCTTGCTGTTTTCTTTTAGTGTACTGTCTTCTATCCTGTCTCCTCTTACAGCCACAGATAACTTTTGCTCTCCTCCTCTTATTTTCTGTAAGCCATTGTCTGGTTTCTCACTCTCACCCTCACCTTTATCTTCTTTTCTCAACCATCCTTCTCTCTTCGTCCTTCCATCCCTCTCTATGTCTGTGTTTTTCCTTTCCCGCTCACCACCACTGAGCTACCATTCCGCAGGGATATCCTACAACGTTTTTTATTCATAAGTAATCAACACATAGCTTTTAAACCATAAACGTAACTTTTGTGCAGTAAAAGATTTTCCAGAATCCCCGTTAAAAAAAAAAAGTTGATCATAAGCTCATTTCCCACTTAATTGCTACCTCCACCAAGGAGGCTATGTTTCCGTCTGTCTGTTAATTAGCAGGATAACAGACAGATGACCACGAAACTTGGAGGGAGGATGTGGATGTGAAATAGGTCAGGAAAGTGGGAGTGGACGCAGAAATAAATCATTCTGTAACATTGTGAAATAGGGTATTTTTCAACGTTTTCATCCGCAGTTATTCATTCTTTAACTGTTTCATCATTTTGGCTCATCAGTTCTCCTGAGGTTTATTAAAGTAATGGTCAAGAGCAGTTTTTTTAACAATATGCTTTTTACCTATTTTCTTTTTTCCTCTGTTCAGTTTTTCACTTTGGTACCAATAGTGAAACTTCAGGGTCAGTTTTTGCTGCGTATGGACATTGTTAAAAGATGAAACCTGGCGACTTTCATTAAAAACTCACTGTATTTCTTCCTTGTATTGATTTTTTTAATGTGAAATCTATATTACAGTGAGATGAGTTAAGTACAAATGAAGATTAGCTGTTACTCACTGTGCCATGACATGAACTATTGACTCTGTGTTCCAGATGGTTTTCTGCTAAACTCTGCTTTTGTTGACAGTTGTATAGAACATGTATTTATGCTTCTGGCAAACTGAATGTATTCAAACGATATATTTGATCCGTCATATGAATGTGAAATCAGAGCCATGCAGATGCATCTAAAACACACAAGAGAACTATCTGTACAACTGGATTCTGTGGATGCAGAGCCCAAGGCTTTTTAATACAAGTATTGTGTCGCAGTAGCAGTAAACCCTCAGTTTAACACTAGCTGAGTATTTCTCTCCTCTCAGTTGATAAACCCCTCCAGCTCTCTCGTGCACCTCTCAGTGGGTTTTCAGTCTCCAATTGATGGTTTGGCTGCTCTTGAGATGCTGCAGGGTCTTTGCAACCTGTCTGTGTGACCCCTTAAACATCATGCTCTCTCTCTCTCACACACACACATATACTTATACACTACATTGCATCTTTTTGTCTCTGGAGCATCCTGTCATAAATTTCTCACACCTGAACACTTGTATATTTCTTTTCTTTCTAAAAACTTTTCTTCTGATCTTGTTTATTCAGCTTCTTGAATAGTCCCACTCAGAGACGCATCTCAGTAAATCTACAGTTATCTATCCCTGACTGTAACACCCATCAAGTGTAAAGTCAATCCATGTTCATCAAATCATCCAGTCTGCATGACTTTTAGCGTACATTGACTTTTTCATAAAACCTACAACAACAGAAATGGGTGGTTACAGTGACAGACGGACAGTGAACGAATGAGTGAATGATGCAATTACTCGGGCATTTGGTTCCTCCCCACACCTCCCAGCATGAGGCCCGTCATTGGCTAGAGCTCCTATCAGCACGCTCACTCATCATATTAAGGTGGATTTTTTAAATAATAGGTAAGCAATTACATGTATAACTGAGT